GCGGTGATACAGTCCCATCGTACCTCTTGAATATTTCGGAAAAATCTACTAATTTCGTAATACCACCCTGTCACAAGCTACAACTCAATATATTCGCAAATAGAACCATACTTGCAATGACACGGAGATATCAGCGGTTCTCCTGGCGCATTTCCGAGGTACGGTATTGATGTTTCGCTGCAAAGGCACACACGGCAAACAGCTGGACCAAGCGAATTATTCATAGAGGTGGACAGCACTGGCATGCGTTTGGAGATGGAGGGGTGTTATTAAGCTTCCTGAAGTAGAGACATTCAGTTGTTAGAACTCTCAAAGATGCAAGGAGCCTAATGAGATCCACATATATCACAACTTTAGTGCGTGTCGAGGACCGATTCGAAAACATTTCATTCATGATACTATCGTAGAGTTATCAGTCTTCAGTTACTTACTAGGGGTATGAGTGGTCCACGGCAGAAGCAGTGGTCTCACTCTGCTTATTCCATGCATAGGTCGCCAGGAACGTGCAGTTGGTGCAGTCGCCAGCCGTCAATCTTCACTCCCCGTCTCCCCTTGAAGACAAATCCCGCAAGTGCATACTGTGGATAGTGACATTCGATTACAAACCCGCGGTCGCTTAATAGCTGCCCGGGAGAGAGAACAAACAAGAAAAAAATCAAGGAGTACAAACTATAAGTAAGGACCTGTCAGCTTCTCTAGACAAGTTTTCCGGACCTGCTCGTTTTGTACCACAAAAGTATCCTGCCGCCTCTGGCTCACTAGTCGTTTCTTCGTGTCATCCAGCGCCATCAAACGATAGAAAAAAAACGGGAAACACAAGGTAAAAACTGAACTCGGGCAGAAGTTTCCCTTGAAATTCGGTGGGTGGAACCAGTAGGGCCTCAGAAATGCCACTTCTCAGGGCCATAGCGCCTTTCTTACCTAGAAGCACGAAAACGGGGATTATCTCAGAGATTGAGGGCCAGACTACTTATGAAAGGAAGGACGCCTTGTAGTTACTTGAGCGGGGACTGTCTTTGACACATTACGTTCCCGAGAGCGACGCTGAAGAGTTCGAAGGTTATGGTGTCGCCCTGTTGAAGGGCTCTCGCCAGGACGATGATGATCTCGTAGTAGAGTGGTGAAGCTCTGATCGTGATGTTGCTGTGGAGCTCATCAAAATCCCCTTGGACTGGGGGGACGCTCTGGTTGCCTGAGGCTTCAACACCTTATATACCCATGTAAGAGATACATCATCGTCACGTACCTTCAGTTTCGCTTCACAAGAACTTGTTCAATGTTTTCGAGAACCTTTTTGAGCTTCCGTTTATTCTGAGCGGAGCTTATCGGGTTTTGCAGGTCTACATTCGAAGCTTCTCCAGGGCACATCATTGGTTGGGGATATTGGTCGACCCTTGCACCCCCCACCCCCTCTTTACAACATCCGTGAAAAAAGAAAAATCAACTATGAAAAAAATTTTTCAGCCCAAATACGGCCCCCTGTTGGGGAATCCCCACCAACAATGTGCCCTGACTTCTCAGAAACACACTACGAAGAGTTCAAAGTTCTCCTCTGAACATGAATGACCTAGTAAAAGCTGCCTGCAGCTTTTGATTTTTCTGTTCCAAAGAAGGGGTAATCGGAAAGACGGAGTACTGTACAACTATTAATCAAAAAACAAAACTCAGGAAGAGTTGTCAGGGCTACGACAGAAACGCGCCACAATGGCCACAGTCAACCATTGGAGATCGCAGGTCCGCGGCTATGCACGAGATCAAAACCAACATTTTCCTTTTGAGACCGGGACCTTCTCCCCCACTACTTTCCCTTGGTGCCGACAGTCCTATTCTTCAACTCCACAGCCACGAATTGGATTGGAAGCACCAACTAGTTATGCTTGCGCCGGTTGTTTGTTTTTGCAAAAACGTTCTCAGTACAGTCTTGTGTTCTCTCCTCACTGCGCTGCAATCTCATCAGTCCGATGTTCTTGTTGGACGTCGCCACATTCTCTTGTCCGAGGTATCTTCTGCGGATAACCTTGACTCAGTTAATTACTCTTCTATAACGTCCGTCCAACTCGACATTAGGCTCCTCGTTGCTGTTTGCCCTAACAATAAGCATCGAATTCCATTGCCTCTCTCTCCCTCTCTCTCCTCCTCACCTGGATGACCCTCTTGGCTTCCGAGCCACGGAAACTCTTCCTCTCTCTCCAAAAGCCGCAGGCACAAAATGCTTGGCCCTCTATTTCCGTCCAGCCGTAGGTCTACCTTGGCATCTTCAATACAGTGGATTGCAGCGGTCAGTCATGATTTTCTGCACGGAGACCAGCACTTCCTTACCGTATAGAACCGGTACACGTTGACGTTGGACGTTCTGGAGCACCAGCAATCGCTTACCAGAAGAATCCTTAATCGTTGGATGTCTTCGCGATATTCACAGCATTTAACGCCGATTTCACACTTTGCTACTCGAGCGAATGAATTGCGCGACTGCGCACGACTGGTAATTTTTTGACCGGCAACGGTCAAAAGAACTGGTATCCAAAATAAGGTTGTATTTGCAGTTGCAGCTGTCAAACGACCCTCTTAACCGGTCTCAAAACTGCTTCACTATTTCGACACTCCCTGTGCCGTGCACCATCGGTACCGTACATTTCTCTGAGCTTGGGAACTTGATCTTCTCAAGGTTCAGCAAGGCAATCATTCGTCTCGACAGCGGTACCCTTCTATTCCATGGCACACAGAGGCGGTCCTCTACATGAGCAAATACTAGCTTCCTCATATGGAAACTTCTCGCTGTTTGTTTACCCCTGTGTCTCTTGTTACTAAGAAAGTGCCGCAATCGCTTACGTCGTGGGTTGGAGTGAGGTCAAGGACCCGTTTCCCTCGCTTTTATCAAACCATTCTTCTACCCTTCTAACCATCTCCTATCCCTGTTTACAAGCCTACTCCGATCGACTTCGTGCCCCGGAAGGTCTGATGGCATCGTTCGTATCAGATAGGGATTATCCTACTCGATTTTGAAGCAACCGAAGCGTATTTGATAAATATCGTCCAGATCTTTTTGGTCTATTCTCACCATCCATTCTCCAGTTTCATCACTGATCCCATTCTTAGTGAATAAGGCAGTCCCTGACGAATTCCACTCGCGCTACGACCATGTCGTTTGGTGGTGTCTGTTCTCCGTTGTGGAAGGGCAAGACTCTCTTCTCAACCTCTCCGGACTTGACGCCTTCCACCCGAGTCCTCTTAATCCTTTGATATGCTGACGATAATATTTGTACCACTTTTTGGGATCTGCCTTCAGTTTCTATCGGTCTTTTTCCTGTATTCCAATAGCATGTGAACAGTGAACTTCCACCAGCGATGAGCGGGAAAAATATGGCCACCTTCAGAAGATATTTCATATTGAAGACTGGAGTTATTTTTAACTAGGTTGCTATGCCAAAAGCAAGTTCCAGTTCTTTTTGGATGAAACCTCGACTGTGGCGACTTGCTCGGGGCTCTGATCACGAATGTTACATCTTATTTGTCGTCATTGTTTGTGCATCACATGGCGCCAACAGATGCCATTTTGGCGCTAGCAGTCTTTTCGATACCGAACTCGATATGAACTTTTATGCGTGGATTATCTGACTTACTGCATAGACATTATTCCTTTGTAGTGCTGGCGCCATATGGCCCCGACAGACGCCTTTTGACGCCAGAGTATTTCCTGGTACTGAGTGATATAACATCTATACTCGGGTCATTTGACGTCCCATTACAGAAATGTCCTACCTTTTCAATACTAGTGCCATGTGGCGCCAGTGTGCGCCAACTTGGAGCCACAACCTTTCTCGGCGAAACTCGATGTATACGTGAGCTCTGCGCATGTTTGACATGCTGGTAAGAAATATAGCGTTAACTTTCGGCACCAGCTCATGCACGTAGAGCGCCCTGGTTGTCTGCGCTCTGCCAAGGCTGAGCGTCAGTTCCTAAGCTGGGCCTTAGCAGAGCTCTAGATAGCACCCATCTCGAAAAAGTATGTTGGTATGGCCGTTTACGCATCACTGTATGGATGTGTGCAAAAAAGCAGAAAACCACAAAAGCAGAAATTATAGGGGGGGGGGTCCATATGTGAATTGGGAAAAGCCGCGAGGAAAATACCCGACCCCACCCGTCACCAGTCCTACCTACCACTTGGAGAGCCGCGGAATCGGGAATGCAGAATGCGGAATCTGCAGAAGTGCCGAAATGACGGTCAACGACTTGATAGGAATTGATCGCTCAGCCTCGTACCACGGACAAATATCGGTTCTGGGGAATTTCGGCATTTCTGAAAGCTGGGAACTCCTGCGTTCCCCAATTCCATTCCTTCTATGTGCAGTTTCGTCATTTGTTCAAAGCAGTCATGTGTGAACTCTTCCTCAACTACACAAGACACTAAGGTTCATTTTTGCGCTCCAACACAAAGTATACGGTATTTGGCCCACCTTTAATCCTTCGCCAATCGTTTTCAAAGGTTTCTATCAAATGGCCGCACTTCAGTGTCCTTCTTCAGTCCAGAGTAATTTTCTGGCAAGTGGTCTTTCCTTACACTTGCTTGAAGTGTCCTCTTTCAGTGGGGTTCAATTTATCTTGGTCTGTTTTATGGGGAGGGGGGCATGGTGCTTACTCATGCATGGTCTAAAAATACTAGTAGCTAACCAGAATTATGTTCTTTGTGTGCTGCACTTATTGCGGCCATAGGCTCTCGTTTCGGGATGGAGAAGGTGAGGGAGGGGGTCATTTGAAAACGTTTTGTTGCAACGAGATTACAAGGGCGTCAGTGGTGTCAAAGTCACACGCTTGTTCGATTACAGCGATTGTTCGGCGGCCGTGATGTGAGTGATCCATCAACGCCCCGTCTGAAAGTCATTTTTCGAGTGGTGGGAATATCTCTCTGTCGATTTTGTTTCCGTTCTTTTCTCGACCGTTCGCATTTAAATGGTTTTGGCTTGCTTTCATTAATACTTTACCTGTTTTTCTCCTTTTCAGGCATGGATGCGTGGGAGTTTGCCGATGAGGTAGATGTCCTTGCCAAACTTCCTGCCAATTTTGACGAGCTAAGGGAATCAAAGAAGTGGCAGGAACGAAAAGAAGCTTTGGAGGCGCTGTCCACTCTTCTCGACGCTACTGTTCGGTTGTCTTCAAAAAGCAGCTATGGCGAAATTCTCGGCAATCTCCAAACGGTGAGACCCTCCCTAAACTTCCTGTTCGCTTAGATTTTCCATGCAAGCTTTTAAGAAGGTTGTTCTCTTACTGGTGCGTCTCGTTGATATGCGGCACAGCTCCGTTAAGAATCGTGGTGGCATTTGAATCAGGGCACGTCGTACGTTGGGGGTCCGAAGGGGTTGTATCAATTGGATGGGGTCGGGTCATGTTTGCTTTTGAGAAAAATGTTTTCGGTTCCTGGTTTTCCACGTCCCATGTGCGTTACAAACCCTCTCCTCATCAGAGGCAGTTTTCTTAGGGAAAACTGGAATTTTTTGCAAAAAACACCTCGAAAAGTGATAGGGACCTCTGAGGGAGTCATATTTTTACACTTCTCTCCTAGACAGGACGTGCCCTGGCTCGAAGCGGTTCGACATATTCCCAAAAAGACAAGGACTTTGATGTTTTCCATGTATGGTACCGACGCCGCTTGCGACTGCGAACTTTTACCTGTTTAGAGCATTGTGTTTATTCTTCCTATTCTTTTTATCATTTCACCCTTCAAGTGTACTGTATTTCAGATGCTCGCCAAGGATGCCAACATTAACGTTTGCGCTCTTGCTGCCAAGTGTATCAAAGGATTTGCCACAGGACTGCGGACAAAGTTCTCACCCTACGCTCAGTCGGTTAGTGTCCTTCGTGGTACATCTGCAATAGTTCGTTGTGAGCAAGTGTTTTTGGAATCCTCTTTTTTTCAGATCATTCCAGTTGTTTTCGATAAGTTAAAAGAAAAAAAGCCTTTACTGAGAGATCCCCTCATTGAATGTGCGGACGCCATAGCTTCAACGGTGAGCTTTCTCTTAGAAATGCATGCGAGCGCATGTGCATGCTAATGGTTTGAAGTTTTCTGAGTGAAATCGATTTTCTAGCCGCTGCATTTTACAGCAGTGAACCATTGGAACTTGCTCATAAATTAACATTTGCTCTCTCTACAGATCCCATCACTGGAAGTAATTGTCGAGGAAATCGAGGCAAATATGGGAAAACCTAACCCTCAGATCAAGCAGCAAGTGGACAATTTTTTGAGCAGACAAATCAATTTGCTGACTACAGACAAGGTGCTATATTTTGTTTTACTCCGTTGAGGATACTATTCTTTTAGGATTGTTATGTTCAGCTATATACTTTTTGTTTAAATAGGGATTCATGGGGTGGAGATGGTGTAACTGGAGGTGGCGCGCTTATCTCGCGCGGTCCAGGGGTCAACAGTCGAATCGACTCCCGCCCAGGCCAACCAAGCCTTCCACCCGGGACGGTAAATTGGTACCAGATTATCTGGGAGGATAAAAACACTGACTTGTACATCGGCTGGCCCCCGCAAGTCATTGTATAGGCGCATCGCATTCAGTAAGAAGCTACAATTCTGAGTGGAAAGAGAATGCGTCTCGCATCCCAAAAACGGATTAATGACATATATGTAGCAGAATTATTGTAGTGATATTATTATACTATTATTTATAGTGATGTCCATATATAAGTATAATTTTTCTGTTAGTATAAATAATAAATACTGTTTTTAAATAAAAATATACGTTACATGTCACGTAAGTGTTCCAGGCCCCGAAGAAGCTTATCAAAGCGGTCGTTCCTGTGTTGATAAAACACGCTGCAGATGCAGACCAAGATGTTCGTGAAGCCTCTTTGGCAGCTATTGGTTCCATCCAGCGCCTTATTGGCGAGAAAAATGTACGGTCTATGATTGGCGATCTCAGTAACGATGAGGCTAAGATGAAAAAGGTAAGCTATTCTTAAATTGTATTGAGCGTTCAACAATTCAATTTCATTTTACAGATAGCAGAGTTTGCTGAGAAAGCAGCACAGGCTCACGCAGAAGAGATGGCAAAGCATGCGACAAGCACTAGTGCTGAACAGCCAGCAACAGATGAAACATCCGCGGCTGCGGAAACTGGTACACGTTCCGCTTCCGCCAGTGTTCCAGCTCCTGTTAAGGTCGCGTTAGCTGCCATAAATGTCCCAGTTGCCTAAATTTGTAGATTTTCTGAATGCCGATGTAATTTAGGAGGCAGATCCGTGGGATTTCATGGAAGCAATTGATGTGCTGGCAAAACTCCCTGATGACTTTAACACAAACGTTGAGAGCAAGAAGTGGACAGAACGAAGGGATGCGCTACAGGTTCGTCGAGTCTTTTTATCTTTGTCAGGTACAATTCAACTTCTCTTAATTTCTACTGCACATTTTAGCTCTTTCTCGACCTTTTGACGACGAATCCCAAACTGGACCCGAAAGCGTCCTATGGCGAACACATATCACTTTTGAAAAGGGTAATTGTACTTTTCATTGGAATGTTTTATAGTTGTTTTTCAGAATGTACTTACTTTCTCGATTTTGAACATTTTACAGATAATTGAGAAAGATGCTAATATAAATGTTGCGGCTTTGGCCGCAAAATGTATGAAAGGTATTGCCGAGGGTTTACGAAAAAAGGTAGGCATTACATGAGAAAGCGATTGCGATATTCGCCTTTTACAGTGTTTCGCAGTGCCTTATAATAGCTTCGTGAACTTGTTTTCCTCCAGTTTGCTCCTCACGCTCCTTCGGTAGCGCCTGTCATTTTTGACAAATTCAAGGAAAAGAAGCCTCTTCTTCGCGATCCTTTGGTGGAATGTATCGACGCAGTTTTTGCCACAGTATGTTTCTCTAGCATTGAGAGTCTATTTTTCATTCCATTCGCTTTTTAAGACGACGCTTGAAGCGATGGGAGACGATATCCTTGCTGCGCTTGAAAAGCCGAATCCTAATATAAAAATTCAAACCGATCTTTTCCTGTACAGGTATGTCTATCATTCTTCAAGTCTAATTACTTCACACTGTAGTTCATTTCAGAACAGAACATATACTGTTTCAGAGCTTTCAAGTTACTCAACGCGCAAACAATGCCGAAGAAAACCCTCAAATCCATTGCACCGTTGCTCATAAAGGTGACTTCACATGAATTCTTTTGACGGTGTGCATACAATGAATTTTGTTAGGAGGCCTTCAGACCTCGCGGTTGCAAAGGCAGGCGCTATAAACCGCGTCGACTCGCTGCCGTTGCAGCCGCGCTGGGTGTTATGGGCGGGAATGCTGCCACAGACGTGTATCGCTCAGCGCTGGTCACTGCTTCGGGAGAGCCAGAAGAAGAGTAGGAGGGCGCCAGTCTGTGTGAGCAGGCGACGCGTACCAACCCGTTCCCCCTTATTCTCTGAAAGCAGTAAGGTCGATGACGATTGCGTAGGGACGCCTTGCCGCCTGCAGCTTACAAGTTGAGCGCGGTTGCAATGGTAACGCGTTACGGTGCTTAAGCGTTGGTAAAGCAGTAACTCGGTCTGTTCCAGCACACAGCAGACTCGGATGCAGAAGTTCGTGATGCCTCTTACGCCGCACTGGGTTCGGCCATGCGTGCAATTGGGGAAAAACCCTGCTTGCCATTGTTAACGGACATTCTGGAGGACAAATTGAAGATGGGAAAGGTTAGCTCTATCCTTGTTAAAATAGTGAATGGATATAGACGATATATCTTCTGAAGTACGCTGGTTTAGATCAAGGAGTTCTACCAAAAAGCTTGTGAAGAAGCTGGTCCAGAAGTGATCACACAGATGGTCCAATCAATCCATAAGGCTGATGTGAGTATTTGCAGTTAGCTCGCTTGGTAGAGTAGTCGCTTCTCAAGTGATGTGTTTTGTGCGCCTTTCGACGCTTCCGGTGCCTTCCGTTGGCTACCTTTCACGTTTTACTTACTTTAGTTGCTATGTTCATTCTGTACTGTGTTGTGTTGTGTTGCTATTGTGGCTTTGTGTAGGCTGCTCCTCCTCCATCAAAAAAGGTGGAGCCCCCTGTAAAGAAGGCTGCACCGACAACACGTGAATCGTCTACGGAACGTCGTCCAGCTGCTGCAGAGGAGGAGGAGCCAACTGGCGGTGATGAGGTCGGGATGTTGCATTTCTTTTAAGTTATCTGATTCGAAAATCACGTCTCGCCTCGTCATTTCAGCTCATCGCTGAATGTAAACTAGTTTCGTTGTGCTAGTGTGATTCTTTTTCTTAAAGGTCGAGGAAGGGAAATTATGTTCATCTTCTCCCTTGTTGTATCAGACCCTTACAAAATCGCTTTTTTTCAGTCTTTGAAACCACCGGCAGGCGCTGCTCCAATGAAAAAAGTTCCTGAAAAGAAAAAGGAGATTCCGAAGAAGGTATTGTGTACGTGTTCGTGAGATCTTCTGCTTTAACTCGTGCAATGTTTAGGTAGAGGAGGAAGAAGAAGAGCCAGTGAAAAAGGCACCTGATGAATTGCTAACAGCTAACGATGAGAAGCAGCAGCGCCTTAAAGATGAACGCACTCTCAAGGTCAGTTGTTTCGATGTCTGGTTTGTTGAGTTAATTCGTTTCTGCGAGTCTGTCGATTCAGTGAGAGTTTAATGTCCCTTTTGTAGACTTTGAAATGGAATTTCACTCTGCCAACAGAAGAGCACATGATGCAGCTCCAAGAACAACTGGGCCGTCATGCAAAGGCATCTCTTATGGCGATGCTGTATCACAAGGACTTTAAACAACACCTGAAGGCAATCGAGCTGTTGAACAAGGTGGGAACTAGTGGATTAACTCAATTTTTCTTTTCTTTTGTTCGTTGCAAAGTGGAGACTACTGCACAATAAGCTTTACTGATAACAGAAGTCAGAAACGCAGTAAAGAAATCTTGTCGCTAACATAGGTCGTTCTTAAATTTAGTTCGAACTGAATAGAGAATATGAAGCAGTAGAAGAGAAAAGTTGCACCCTATTAATCTTGTTCTACCTAGCTCAGAGAGGCACGATGTTGGTGGGATGGAAATGGATGCAGTTCGTCTTAGAGGGGTACCTTCTAGTTCTCCTTGGAAAGAGATCTGTGAACTCTTGTGATGCTGCGGATCTTCTTTGTACAGAACATTTTGTCAATGCTTTCCAATGCTTGTAAGCTAATGGAGCCACTGAAATTTCTTCCTTTTCACTTTTTTCCTCTTCACAAGACTTTACAGGTTTCAGTAATCTGAGAAAACTGAAGAAACTAGCAACATGCCCCACCCCGCCCACCCAACCTGAGGCCAACAGGGATTGGAACTGCTTCGTCGAAAATGTATATTGTGTCAGATCTTGCAGTAGTTTTAGTTCACCCAAAGAAGGTCTTGGGCCCGATCATGCTCGAAGCGTTACCCTGTAAAGCTTTTCGTGTAACGTTAGTCGTTAGTGTAGTAGGGTTGTATTTCACAGCAATTTA